AGCAGGAAGGATAGATTTAGGGAGTGGGAAGGTCGAGTTCCTAGCTCCAGGAAAGGCAGAATCAAATACCAAGGATGAAATGAGGGTCCTTAGGTGCCTGGAAGATGGCCCAGCTAAGGGCCATTTATAATCCACCTGATGTAGGGGGATATTGGGCAGCAGACCCCGCTCCCATACCCCTAGCACCTCTTCCAGCTGGCATTCACTTGATGGTCTCCCAGGCTGAGGGACCAAGTCAGGGACAAATTCTCCTCAGTGGTCTCAACTGAGAGAAAGGCTGTTTTCTACCCCACCCCCCAAACTGAACAGCTGCTTTCACATTCTACCCCCCGAGGCCCTGGAGAGCTGGAAGTGCTATCCAGGCATCCTAGCTGGCTCCACTACATCCCGGCTCGAAGGCTGGGCATGCCCCTGAGCATGGTGCTCAGGTGAGGGACATGGTGGAAAGAATCCCCCAGAGGTAAGGAGAGGTCAGGGCCCAGTGGCCTTCCCACAAACCCATTCTCAGGAAGAGTGGACAGCCAGCAAAAGCCCTGGAAAGTGAGCATACCTGGTGCCAGGAAAGGGTTGAGGGACTGGGCCGGCGGGGCTGGCCTGGTCACCAGCGAGTCCAGGTTCACCAGGGCCGCGTTGGGGCCCAGGAAGGACTCCGGTGTTTTCCGGGCGCTGCTGGGCTTGCTTGCAGCCATGGTCAGGGGCTGAGACTCAAAGGGGTCAGGGCTTGTAGTTCCATTGTTTTGGGATGGCGGAGAGGCCACCACCTCAGCTACGAGACAAGGACACACACGAGTATGGTGAGTATGGAGGGTAGGCCCTGAGCCTGGTGTATCCAATGCTGCCAACTAACCCCGGGAGCGTCCTGAGCAAAACAAACCCGAGATTCCTCATGTGGCTGCACAGAGGGTGGAGATGTTCATTGCAGTGTTGTTTCCAACAGCCCCAAACTGGAGACAGTCAACCACAGGGCAGGTTACATAATCCATTGTCCATATAACCAAGCCCGAGTGTAAGGAGAGGAAAGACTAGATGAGGAGAGGGAGCTGTATCAACATATTAAATGAGAAAACCAGGGACTAAACAGTATGTACAGCATGATCCTCCCAACACAGCAAGATGTTACTTTGGTTTGGTGACTAGGCATGGGTAATTTATGTATTTTTTCCATTTTTAAAATTTTCTACAATGAACATGAATTTTTTGACAATAAGAAGAAAGCATATTATTTTTTTTAATTCAGCCAATAGAGGGTGTGCTGAGACAGGCTGGTGGGAATGTCGTTGCTCTGCCAAGATGCAAGGTGGCAATGTAGTATAGAGGTTCTTAAAAATGGTCATACTCTCTACTCAGTAATCCCATTTCTAGGAATCCAGCCTCAGGAAATAATGCAAAATATGAACAGGGGTTTAAGCACAAAGACGTTCACTACAGCATTATTTATTTCAGCAAAACTTGAAATCAACCTAAAATGTCCTCCCAAAAAATTAAAGATTAAATAAATTATTGCTGAGCAATAGATACTACATAGTTGTGAAATGTTTTCTAAAGAATTTTCAATGTCATGAGAAAATGTTTCAATCTGTTATTCCATAAAAGTGGGGCGGGGGGCGGGGGAGGAACAGGATTCAACTCTGATAGTATGAGCTAAACTGTATGTTAAGAGCTCAGAAAAAAATACTAGAAGCAAACAGTGACTGATGGTAGGTAGAAGGATTATATATCATTTTCATTTTCTCTCATAAACTTTTCCAAATTTTTGGAATACTTCTAGAATTGGGGGGAAATACTTTGCAAGTCCACTTAAGGATGATCATGTAACAAGCTACACTGCCTTCTCACTGAAGCACAGAGGGCAGGTAAGGACAGTTAGGTTGTACTTTGACCTACAAAGGAGACACATGGAATCGTGTTGCTTTTTTAATGTAGCAAAAGAAAGACCCAGAGAAGCAGCACATTCTAAGTTGCTTCTGGTCCCCTGAGCTGAGAGGCTGCTCATACCTTTGACCAGGACCAGCCAGGCTGCTCATACCTTTGACCAGGACCAGCCAGGCCTGTGGCTGCAGCTGGGGGGAGAGGCAGAGAAAGTGGGAGGAAGGAAGTGGGGAATGGGGAGGACATTGAGAGAAGCTGAGAGAGGAAAGAAAGGAGAGAAGTTGCTCTGTTGACTGGGATATATGGCTCTGAGATGGACAGAGGCTGCCTGGCTGCCCCCAGGTCCATTTACGGGTGTATGAAGAAAGCATCCCAGGCCTCCTCCCTCTGCTCCCTCCAGGCCAAGACTTTCTGAATGCCACCCTAACCCCCTCCCAGCCCAGGGGTGCACAGGGAAGAGCTAGGCCTGGAGACTTGACTGTGGGTGTCCTGGACATGGGATCTGACACGGGTTGGGCAGGAGCCGCAACCTGGGATGATATAGTGGACCAGACACCCCATTCATGCCCAAATCTGGGGTTGTCTGGAAAAGGTGGTACCTTTGGGATTGGGGGGAAGGTGAATGAAAACCATGGCTCAGACCTGAGGGTGGGGGGCCCACGCTGAGCTGGGAGGGCTAGGGTGACCATGGGTCACAGGGGAAGTAAGATCAAAACACAGAGGTGACCCAGACAGGAAACACAGGGTTGAACATGGGGCCCAACACATGGAGAGGGTGAAAGAAAACCTCTATTGAATGACTTTTCACTGTTGATGTATGAATTCCTGCAATTAGATGCTTACAATTCCCAAGAGCAAAATGCAAAGAAAATGCATGAAGCTGACAGGTTTTTGGAAGCTAATTATTAATTCTGCAATACCTGGGCTGGTCAAATGCACGAAACATTATGGAAACCACTACCACCTTTACCTACCTGTTCTTTTTGAAGTTCGAAGGTTGTCGAATTCAGAAAAGTCATCTTTAACTGTCCCGTTCAAATTACTGAAGAGATCAAAGGCCCCTGGGTGAACATGAGAGGCCAGTAACTGGGTGCATCATGACTTCTCCGTGTTTCTACTTCCCAGTCTACAACCCACAGGTGGGTGGACAATGGGCAAGGAAAGTGGACCCCTATCCCACCTCCTGGGGGAGAATGCCAAGAGCCAGAGAGCAGTTTGGGCTCTGGGTCAACTGGCAGGCTGTGAGGGGACCTTGGCCTCCCTGTGCAGAGTGGGGTGCTCACCTGCCACTGCTCCCACCATCCGTACCCCAAAGTGGAAGGACTAATGGTAGTGGAAACACATCTGAGTTGGGTCTGGAAGCTGGGACAGGACCTTGTAGGAAGTGACCCTAGCAGTGTCCAGAGAGTAGCCTGCCCAGGAGCTCTGGGGAAGCTCCCTCTGGAGGGAGGTACAGGTGCCTAGAAGGCCCATGAGCTCACACCACACACTGGGTGCATGGCATAGGGGATCAGGGGCAAAGGCTATGGGGAAGAAGGGTAGCAACTACAGGCAAATTGAGAGGCCCCATGCCAAGGAGTCATGAGGGGGGAAAGTGGAGGGGCCCAAAGGGGCTCTTAGGACCCAAGTAGAGTGAAGTCTCACCAGAGGTGGACACAGGCTTGGCGGCCGAGGCTGCGGCCCAGGCATCAGCTGCTTTCCCAGCTCTGGGGGCAGACTGCTGCGTGGCTGCCCAGGGGTCTGAGCTCTTGGAGATGGAATGTGTGCTGGCTCCGGAGGGCACTCCCCATGGGTCAACAGAGGCAGCTGGCTTGGCACCTGTAGGAAGTTGGGGTAGGGCTCAGAAAAGCTCTCAGTTCTAGGCAGCTGGGGTGAGAAGGGAAAGGACACTGTGGGCCATGGAAGCCACACCAGAATCTGTGCCCCGTGTCAGGAAAGGCAACCACCCAAAGGGTGCTGTCCCACACCAGCAAAGCTGGACAGAGCTGAACCCAGGACCAACAGTTGTTGGGGCCTTTCACCTGGGGAGAGCCCTGGGTGAGACCTGGCCAGGACATCCCTCTGGGAAGGGACCAGAGAGGAAACAGCTAAGAATCCTTCCCAACTCCTGGCCACATGTGGTCTTTCAAAGGGTTCCCTGGGCTAAATTCAAGCCCACCTCCCCAAAGTCCACAGGCTTCCTTCTCAGACAAGAGCTCTGCCCTGGGATTGGCTGCTGGAGCCTCAGACCCTGGCAGCACCCTCTCCCCACCTGCTTTGAGTGGTTTCTGCTTTCAACAGAAGGATGATTAAAGCAGATGAGTGCAGCATAAAGAGGAATAACAAATGCCTCTGTACTAACCTCCCAGCTTAACCAATAAAACGTTTTAAAAGTGCGAGTGACAAATCAATTTAGGTCACCCATCACTGGCTTTTTTTAAAGAGTAGAAAAGAAAACGCCTGAGCAAACTAACATACGGTGTCAATCCTGTTGTATGAATCTTCCATTTCAGGTACACGTAGATATATGTGTCTTTGTGTATATGTGCTTCCACACAAAACACATCGTGCATCTCCTTTCTTCCAGTAAAGCATCACAGAAATGTTTAAAAACCACTGCTGCTTTTCAGGGACCAGAAAGTACCTCCCCCAATGGCACTCCCACCCCCATCATTGTGGATTTTCTTAGCCCTTCTCTTCATTTTCATTCTGGTTTTACCATGTAGAGGTACCTTTAAAGAGGTGCCTATTTTCTGAACTTTATATAAATGGAAACATAATGTACACATTCTTTATTGACAGGCTGTGTTCACTCCACATTTTATTTGGGAGATTCATCTGTGTTGAGGTGTAGCTGAAATGTGTTAATTTTTACTGCTTTCTAATATTTCACTCTATGAAAAAAGAAGGCTGCAATGGGTTGTTAGTCTGTTGAAGGCACTGGTCTGGTTTGAGTTTTGCTGTGCTTTGTCTTTGTTCCATCCCAGGTAGACATGTGCACCTTCCCCTTCAAGGAGTAATGCCAGGATAGTCTCCATGTCAGGTATCTTTTGATGAACAGATAAGATCTTAACTTTAATGGAGAAACTTTGTGTGTAAACTACTTTTCCTGACATGTAGGAAATCCTTCCCTACAAAGCTGTTCTTCCGTAGTAATGTCTGAAAGATTTAGTCTGCCTTTCATGTTTCCATATTTGATCCATTAGTAATTATGATATTTACATATAGTATAAATCAAGGATTATCTCATGTTTTCCTATATGAATGATGAACTCACATAGTACCTACCTCCTTTATCAGTGTCAAATCTTCATGGATTCATTATTGGGCTCTCTGTTCCGTTCCATGACCCATTTCTGTATCTATCCCTGTACTTTCTGGATTATCCTCACAGTTATTATGATAATAAATCCTGATACCTGGTACAGCAAATCCCAACCCTGGTTTTGTTCTTCAGGAGTGTCTTGGCTATTCCTGGCCTTTCACACTTCCATATTCATTTTTAAATCATCTTGTCAGGTTAAAAATAAAAACAAAATTAAAACCTTGCTGGGATTTTGATCAGAATTGCATTGAATCTCAGCTCAATTTGAAGAAAATTGTTATCGTTATGGAAGCAAGTCTTCCAAACAAAAATCATAGGATATCTCCCCATTTACTTAAGACTTCTTTAATAGCTTTCAGTAAAATTTAATTTTTTAACTGTAAGAGATTTGTACAACTTTTAAAAATTTATTCCTAGGGACTGGTGTACTTTTAAAATTATTTTTATTTTTCAGTTACAGTTGACATTCAATATTATTTTATATTAGTTTCAGGCATATAGCATAGTGGTTAGATATTTATATAACTGACAAAGTGATCCCACGATTAATCTAGTCCCCACCCGGCACTGTATATAGTTCTTACAATATTACTGACTATATTCCCTATGCTGCACTTCACATCTCCGTGACTATTTTGTGACTGCCAATTTGTACTTTAAAAAAATTTTTCTTAAATTTTTAAATTACAGTTGGAATATATTAGTTTCAAGTGTACAATATAGTGACTAGACATTTATATAACTTACAAAGTTATCACCCTGATAAATCTAGTACCCTGACACCGCACATAGCTATTACAATGTTATTGACTGTATTTCTTATGCTATACTTTACATCCCCATGACTATTTTATAACCACCAATTTGTACTTCTTAATTTCTTTCCTCTTTTCACTCACTCCCCTCAACTACCCCCCTCCCCCGCTCCCACCTGGCAACCATCAAAATATTCTGTTATCTATGAGTTTGTTTCCATTTTATTTCGTTCTTTAGATTCCACATATAAGTGAAATCTACGGCATTGTCTTTCTCTGCCTGACTTATTCACCCAGTACAATACCCTCTAGGTCCATCCGTGTTGTTACAGATGCCAAGATTTCATTCTTTTTTGTGGCTGAGAGATATTTCATTGTATATATGTACCACCTCTTCTTTGTCCATTCATCCATTGATGGACACCCGGGGTGCCTCCATATCTTGGCTATTGTACATAATGCTGTGATGAATGTGTGGACTTACATATCCCTTTGAATTAGTGTTTTGGGTTTCTTCACATAAATGCCCACAAGTGGGATTACTGGGTCCTTCTTTGTCTCATTATAGCCTTTGATTTAAAGTCTATTTTGTCTGGCGTTGTTGCTACCCTAGCTTTTTGTTTGTTTCTATTATTATGAAATCTCTTTTTCCATCCCTTTCCTTTCAAGCTATGTGTGTCTTCTGATCTGAGGTGAGTCTCTTGTGGGTAGCATATATAAGGGGCTTATTTTCTTATCCATAGTTATTTTATCTTTTGGTTGGAGCATTTAATCCATTTACATTTAAAGTGTTGATAGATATGTAGTTATCATCATTTTATTATTCATATTTTTTCTTTTCTTCTTATTCTTCTTTAAAAAGCCCCTCCAACATTTCCTGTAATACTGGCTTGGTGGTGATGAACTCCTTTAGCTTTATCTGGGAAGCTCTTCATCTATCCTTCGATTCTAAATGCTAGCTTTGCTGGGTAATCTTGGTTGTAGGTTCTTGCTTTTCATTTCTTTGAATAGTTCCTGCCAAACCTTTCTGGCCTGCAACGTTTCTGTTGAGACATCAGCTGACAGTCTTATGGGAGCTCCCTTGTAGGTAACTAATTGCTTTTCTTCTGCTGCTTTTAAGATTCTCTTTATCTTGAAATTTTGGCATTTTAATTATGATGTGTCTTGGTGTGGGCTTCTGGATTCCTCTTGTTTGGGAGTCTCTGTGCTTCCTAGGCTTGTATGTCTATTTCCTTGACCAGGTTAGGGAAGTTTTCTGTTATTATTTCTTCAAATGGTTTTCAATTCCCTGTTCTCTTTCTTCTCCTTCTGGCACCCCTATGGTACAATTGATGTTGTCCTAGAGGCCCCTTAAAATGTAATTTTGGGGGGGGGCGTGGGAATTCTTTTTTCTTGATGATGTTCTGATTGGGTGTTTTCTACTACTTTATCTTCTGAATCACTGATTTGATCCTCTGCTTCATCTAACCTACTATTGATTCATTCTAAGGTATTCTCTATTTCAGTTATTGTATTCTTTATAGTTTCCATCTCCATTTTTTTGTTTTTTCTGTTACAGTTCTGAGTTCATCTACTTTTCTGCTAAGTTCACTAAGCATCCTTATAATCAGTGTTTTGAACTCTGCATCTGGTAGATTGCTTGTCTCCATTTTATTTTTTTCTGGAGCTTTGTTCTGCTCTTTCATTTGGACGTGTTTCTTTGTTTCCCTATTTTGGCTGCCTCTCTGTGGTTGTTTCTATGTATTAGGTAGGGCTACTATGTCTCCCGGTCTTTGTAGAACGGCCTTATCTAGTAGGTGTCCTGTGGGGCCTAAAGGCAGTCTCCCTGGTCACCTGAGCCAGGTGTTCCAGACACATCCCTTGTATGGGTCGTATGTGCCTTCCTGTTATAGCTGAGTCTTGGGTGCTGTTTGCATATCAATGAAAGGGACTGGCCATTGGGTTGACTGGTTGTGAGGACTGGCCAGCGACTAAATAGAAAAGCTGACCCTATGAAGCAGGATTCACATTAGCAGGGATCCAGTGCCTGCCCAGTCTGCCTTTTGGTAGTATGTCGTCCTCAGATGTGGCCCCAGGTAGTGCTCTGTCTCAGACCAAAGCTGACCAATGGGCTGATCAAGTTCAGCCACAGCCTGTGCCCTGCCTGGGGCCACCTGGCATAAGCCACCAAGCAATCCACAGATGACCAAAACCTACACTGGGCTTGGATGTGCCTCAAGAGGCCAAGCCGCAAACCAAGGCTGGCTGCTGCTAGTGCCAGGTTTGGGGCTGCTCAGCACTGAGGCCAGTTGCTGCTTATATGGTATTTGTGAACCTTTGAGAAATTTTAGGAAAGTCTGCATCATAAGCCAAGATAGGCTGTTTGAATGGAAAATCCACTGGAAGTGGCTTGGGTGGGCCCACAAGTTGGGTGGGATGGGGTATCAGTGAAAACTGGTATAGTTTTTAAATTTCATTTTCTATTTATTGTTATGCAGAAAACAATTTAGTCTTGTTTACTGATTTTTGTATCCAGAAATCTTGCTACTCTTAATTCTAATAACTGACCCTATGATTCTAATTGAAATGCATCCTATTTATTCTTATAATTCTAATAACTTAATTCTATTAAACTCTTGTCGAAAGTTTTGATATTCTATGTACATGATCATATCACTTGCAAATGATGACAGTTTAGTTCTTATACTTCTAGTCCTTATACTTCTTCTTTCACGTTCCTGTCTCACTGTGCTGGCTACAATCACCAGTCCTAACATAAA